AAGGTACCCCCTATTTTCGGAAACACCCATCTCTGCCCGACAAGGCCCGGACCGAGGTCAGGTCCTGCTCATGCACGCGAGCCAGCCCATACAGCTGGCTTCCTTTAGCACTTTTTTCCTTCTTCCACGCCCAAAACTCGAGAGCATTTAGGGAATTTAGGGTTTAGGGTTTACGGTTTAGGGTTTAGGGTTCAGGGCTGTGCAAGTTGCTGAGCCATCGCATTGCCACCTGGCCTTTCTTCGCCCTGTTCACGAGGCGGTCTTTATCCGACTGCAGGACCGCATTGCGACCGACGTAGTCCATCACTTGCACACTTGTAGTCTTGCTGGTCGCAGAGGCTCTTTGGTATTCCTTAGTTGCGGCGGGAGAACACTATACATCTGCGGGCTTCGTGCCGCTTTGGTTGGCGCCGTGGCTCCTGCTGACCGTGCTCTTTGTATACGTGCCCCTTATCTCGTATACGGGTTTAGGTGTTGGAATTCGATGATGTTGATTTGCCAGGCGACATTTTAGTGCATTTTTGGCCTTGTAGGATCCTGAATATAGTATTAAGGTGAACCAACAAAGGCACTACAATGGAGACTATAGGTATGTTCTTAACCGTATTGAGTGATCGGATTCGAAGTCCAGGGTCATAACACCAGGAACCTGGGTTTAGGGTTTAGGGTTTGGGGCTCAGGGTTTAGGCTGAGTAAACCGTCGGCTCTTCTTACAAGGTGCTCTTGATGTGGATGCCACTGTGTCTTTGGGGCGGTCAGATCCAGCAAGAGTTGAACATGGTTTCCTGAGCAGGGCTTGGTGGTCAAACTTCTTCTAGAAGCCTTGTTCTTTGTACTTGTTCGAAACCTTGGAACCCCTGCCGTTCGCTAACAGCAACGCACCCTAAACCCAGGAACCCCTAAACCCTAAGCCCTAATCCCTAAACCCTAAACCCCTAAACCCTTAACACTTAACCCTTAAACCCTAAACCCTAAACCCCAAAACCTAAACCCCTAAACCCCTAAACCCCTAAACCCCTAAAAACCCCTAAACCCCTAAACCCGAAACCCGGAAACCCTAGGCAGGCACTGGGGCTCCCTGACTGAGCCTCCGGCACTCACTGCTTACTGACCTCCTCAAAATTCTCGCCGATGTCTGGGATGTCCTTTAGATTAAAGGAAACGGGGAGTTTAGGGTTTAGGGGTTTGGGTTTAGGGTTTAGGGTTTAGGGTCCAGGGAAACTACAGGTGCGGAGTTTAGGGTATATAGGGCTTCTATAAGGATGATCGTGTCCCGGTGAGGCTTTTCCTCAAATGAGGTTGCCACAAGCTGCA